GTTAATAGTTTAACTAAAAAGAAAATCTATCTTCTTTTCATATGTGTATTATCAGTGATAACAACTATTTCAATTATTTCATTTCTTCTTTATCATTTATTATTTTAGTTAAACTATTAATATGTTAGCTTGCTTAGAAAGTGACAATTTGAAAGTGATACAATGTTGTTGACAATTTCGAAATGATAATTTGTGAAGTGATGTCATTGAGCATTTTGATTTCATAACTAATGAGGAAAATAAATGAGATTATTGATTTGAAAATTATCCAAACAATTTATCCTTTATAATAAGCAAAAAAACGAATGCTTAATCAATTGGGATATGTTAAATTGAAATTTCAAATTTTAAATAAGTTTTAGAGAAGTAAAAGAAAAATTAAAAGTAATTTACTCTTTCCAGTTATATAATAATTTCAAGAAGATTAATGAATAAGATCATTCAGGTGATAAACACTATTAAGGTCAAAGAGAGTGTTATAATTGTCTAACTTTACTTTTTGCAATTTGTTAGGTAATTAGAACTCAAAAAATGCTTACTAAAAAAAGAATCACTCTATCCTAATTTCTTCATTTACTCGGAAACATTTTCTTTACTAAGTGTAGTTTTATTACTATGAAAATATAATAAAATGATCGTTGTTTGATGCGATACGGTATCGCTGAAGTAATCATTTAATCAGTGATTTGGAGATTATCAAGGGTAATGTAGTAAGACTACAGAATCTCCAAATATAGACGAAATATGGATGATTCCGATGATTTTTGCTCTTTTTGGAAGTTATCAGTAATAAATGGATCCGATATTGGCCAATTGCTATTCCTAAAGAAGAATGAGATTACTGGACTGATGACAAATAGCTTAAGTCTAGTAGTCATGTACAGACATAGCAGATTCATTTGAAATTTATGGAACAAGCAGGATTCTATTCAGAGAATAAGACGATTTACAATAATTCAAGCTTTGCAAGTTTTCTTCCGAAATCTTTGCAATCTTCAACAAACAAAATGACGTTGCTATCTCAGTTGAAATCATCAATTAAAATGAGGTGGCAATATTTTGCTTAAATTTTGATAAACAAAGCAACAACAAGAAAAAACACGTCATCTATCATTGAGATTTCATTCTTCAACTTCAATAATATTTTAAGGCGTACTATTATTATGACACTTTTTATGCTATATTAAAGCAAAAATTTTTTCTCTAAATAGTATGAAATCAACCGGATCAGTTGTCATCAATTATCTGAAGTAAAATTCTATTTCGAAATTCAAACAATCATTTTGAATATTCAAAACAATTTCAACATTACCAAATATTCAAGATTTCTACTATACGATCGTAACTTCATATATTAGAAATACCCTCAGATCTTTACGATATTCCATTAAAGAATAAAATTATAGTTTTATCAACACTGCATAAAAATTTTCATTTTTAAATAATTACATGCAATGCATTGATACGCCAACATTTTTAAAACTATCATTTGTAGAAACCGGTCTGATTGTAAATACAATTCTATTCTGGCAGTAAGTGTGTTTTTAACGCTATTATTTTATTAAGGATATTTACGCCAACAGTAAAATAATAGCCTAAAATTATTTATGCCACTTTCTTAATTTATATTCCATCTTCTTAACTCTTCTCCTAGAAATACTATCGTTTATCTGCTGGACAACTGACTATTAAGTTAAGAGGGTTATTATTTGACTGGGCCTTTTTTCTCCCCTCATATGTTTAATTCATTAATTAAAGAATTTTTGTAATAAAATTTGTGTGTTTGATTTTATAAGTGTAAATGATTTATTTTACATAACCACCAGAAGTATTTATATCATACTAATCACAAAAAACCTATAAGTTGAAAAATAAATGACTACCGATACTATTGAAATGATCATTACATTACAAAAACTTGACATCCTTCCTTTGCAATGATTTTCTTATCATATTTTTGAATTTTTTAATTTATGGAAAATAGCATTTGAGTAATGCATAACATAACTTAGCCAGTAATTTCATAAGTATTATTCACTTTTCTTAGCTTTGATAACTAAATTGATTAATTTAGAAAACTAATTTTTTTATAGCATTCTCTCTCGGCTTTAATAAATATTCTTGGCATCATTTTCCAGGCTAAAACCAAACAGTAATGGCAACATTAGCCCAGCAGCTAAATCCCACTCCAATACAACAGTCCGAAAATGAACCATCTGTTATCGAAAACAAAATTATTGCATCAATATCTCCCGGTGAAGATACGGATAAGGTGCAATAATTCTATCTGTTATATCTTTTTTGTTGAAATTTTACAAGAAATTCGCTTAATGATTCATTTATATACTCATTAATTAAACTAATAACAAAGTTTATTTATTTTCAGCTTTCTGATCTATCGGAACCTCATGAAGGTTCCACAACCAGTACAAAAGGTTCATCATCATTTTCAGCTTGGTATCATGTAAGTTATATCTTAATAACTTAACAAAGATTCATGAATTCCCTGAAAGTATTATACTGGCATTTCAAGGGTAATTCGAAAGTGTTGCAAACATTGCTCATCGATCAATTAAATTTAACAATACCTTTCAAAATTAATTCATCAGTTTTATTTTTGAAACTATTATGAATTAGTTTCAACATTTGGAGATTTTCAGCGAATTGCTCCATTGGTCCGTAATAAGCAAGTACGAGCGCTTTCAGTTATTAATTGTATTCTGACAATAATTAATTTATTTATCATATTACTAATTATTGCAAGTTGTTTTTGGTTATTAGCGCTCAAAATTAAGGTTTGTATTTGATTAATTTCAATTCTCGAAAAAAATTTTAAACATTGACCTAATTTAAATTTAGATTAAATAATTCAATGTTACTTCAAAATAAGATTGGATAGATTTAATAAATTGTCGCAGAAGCAATTCAAAGTACTATAAAATTATAGCATAGTCAGTTGCTTCAACAAGATATGCCATGCTTTTATGAATTTAAACCATGGTCACAATGTTCGGCAACTTGTTGGGCTGATGGTCAACCGATGCCAATTATGGAACGTGTAATAGATGAGAAAAAATTGGTAATGAAACGTGGAAAAACTTACGCGGACTGTCCATCAAATATTAAAGAGAATTTTGTACAGAAAGCACCATGTAATTTACAACGGTATGTTTATTAATTTATTTATTACTTATCATAGCAATATGTAAACCATTAATATTATACTTATTATTTTTTGCAAACATTTAACACGTACGTTAGTGAAAATAGATAATCATTTTGTTTTCACGTAATATCCCGCTTAGTAATAGTTTGTTAAAATTTTAAATTTAGTTTATTGAATAGTTAGTTAGATATTAAAGAGAATCTTTCAAGTCTTAAAGCTTAACTTGGAGACATTAGAAGAATAGATTTAAGATTATTTAGTCGTTGTTATTCACAAATTAAGGCCTTAAATTATTGCAATAGCAATGGAAAACTACGTAAAATAAATAATATACGCATAAATTATGCAAAGAAAAAGTTAATTATGATCGACCCATTGCTAGTTAAAGGTTAACTTATAAACAAATAGAGTTGAAATATTTATCATTGAGCGATTTCGTAAAATAAGAAGTTATCGTTTAGTGATTGTTAAATGATCTAAATTTGCAGATGTCCATTAAAACTTAGTTCTTTCACAAATTGGACCGAATGTGTCTATAAGAATCCTGAATTGCGAAAAGCAGGAGGATGCTATCAGATGCGTATTCTACCACTTGAAGATCGTCTAATTTACGTGGATACATCAGACCTTACAAGGGATTGCCCAAATAAGCGATGTCCTGATTATATTCCCTAATCTGCAACACATTATAAGCTTTATCATTTATCATATAATAATAAAATGATCTGATCTGTTAGGAATAAAAAGTGTAATTTGAAGGAAATCAATAAATATTCAAAAACTAAAAGAATAACTATTTTTTATTCTTTCTATTTTCAAGTTTTTTCACTAATTTGGATTGTTACTACGAAATATTATGATTTTCTTTCTGTTGCAAATTTTTATATCTTAACAATTAGCTAATGCTAACAATTTGTTTCATTTAAATATATTTGTTCCATTTAAATAAATAATTATTTCATGAGATTGCCAAAAATCCATTACATCCATTTATTGTATATATTGATAGATGCGATAAATTAAGCAATTTTACCAAAGAAATTATCACAATTAATTAATTTATGATACATTACCGGATATTAGGATGATCACAGAAAAATTCTGTTCCATTCATTGGATGGTACTAAATAGAAGTGTAGATGACAAATGTTAAAATTAACTTCGAATGATTATTGTGCTCATCTTAGATAGTAAATTTATACTAAACATGTATAAATTTTCAATTAAAGGCAATGCTAATTTGAGCATTCAAATTTTGAGAAGTTTAAGTAAATTGGCTAACAAATTGTTTTAAGAAAAAATTTTCGAAATAGCTAACTCTGTTCCGGTTAGCATTAATCATTTCATCAGCAATCTAGAATCTACCTAATTCGTGAACTTTCAAAATTTCTATTATATGCTACCAGCTTATCAATATTTTTAATAGAAATATTATTTCGATATATTTAGAGGAACGTCTACAATATTTGCAAATAATATTAGCGATAATGCGAAAATTTAATTTTCCTCGGCAAATTGGTAAGAAGAAAAAATTAAATTAAATCAAATTAGCATCTTTTATCATCAATTAATTTCAAATTCATTTGCTAACACCTTTTCACAAATAATTTCCTAAATTTGAAACAATCGATAAACTTGACAGTTTGTTAGTTTTAATTTAATTTTCTTCGATAATTTAGGAATAAACCAAAAGATAATAAAACTATTTTCAATGAAACAAAGCAATCAATCATAAATACTTGCAGAAAATTTTCCTAATATCTATCTCACTGCAAATAAGTAAAAGTCTAATAATAAAATCAATTTTGTTTTTTATCTTTGCAAAATAAATTTTAGGTTAGAGGAAATTTTTAACAATTTGCTTATATATATTGTGGAATAACGTCTACAATATATGCAAATAATATTAGCAATAATTCAGAAATTTTTAATTTTTCTTTCCTTAGCAATTTTAGGAAAAAGATTTCAATGAATAGCAAAATTTATATATTACACAATAATTTATTGAATGAATTATTCAAAATCTTTTTTTGTGAATAAAAATAGAAAGTTTGAAAAATGTTATAATTTAGAAATATTAAGTTACTATTAATATCTCCTTAGATTTTCCTTCTATTTTGAAATAACACAATATTTTATCACTTTTCCTATTTTTTCTTATCTAAAATTTTACATAACATTTCTTCTATTAATTCCTGATATAATAAAATAACTGCGATATCAAAGTACAGATTGCTTTTCGCATATTACTCTAATAATAGCTTTGATAAAGATGATGAGCTATTGAATGAGTGATGATAAGAATTATAATAGGATATATCATCAGTGATATTACGTATAATAGCCATGTGTATCGGTGATATTACTAATAATAGCCATGTGTATCAGTGATATTACTAATAATAGCCGTGAAATAAATTAAAACATTTTTAGAATAATGACTATTTGAAAAATGTGTAAATTTAACAAGTTATATAGGATATTCCTTTCCTTTCCTTTTCATTGAAATAAATAAAAATATGAAACTTTTGATAATTTCATAGTTCAACCTTATCAATCTTATTAGTTGCAAAACATTTTCTAATATTTCACTTTGACAGCTCGATATTTACACCCATCTGTAATTTGAAAAAATCATTTTATTACATAGAAACATTTCAGATTTTAAATATCTTCCGTTTTTCTGAATTTCTAAATTTCTTACTACTCATCCCTTCAAATTTTAACTATAGCCTATATATGTTTAATGTTAATTTTGCCAATTAGTAATGATACTCATTGATTATCTTTCTTAATTATTTGTTGCTATGCTACAGCTCATATTTTCAACATTTATCATCGTATCAAAACGAATGCAGAAATCTTTATTGTCCGCTATATGTTAATTGGCATGTAATCATTTTCATGGTAAGCGCAATTATTTCATATTGTTGTATTCGTTTAACGGAAACGGAAACGGAAACGTAAAAAAAAGATCATAAATAATTGTAAAACTCTTTTCTCTCCCAAAATTTCTCTTTTACGAAATAGTTTTTTGAACGAAAGTTTAGACAGCTATTTTATTTTTATTTGAAAATTATTGCATAATTATTAAGCTATTTTGTCTTAGAGAATAAAATTAAATAAATTTCCTCTAGATTTTTATCAGTAAAATGATAAAAATAAGTGATAGAGAAATGATAAAAGTATTTTAGAAAGAGAAAATTGTCAGTTTCATCATTTTATTCATCAATTTTTAAAATCACTCAAATATCATTCAAAATTAATTCCTAAAATTTCATCCCTATGAATTATTATTTTTTTTCATAATTCTAAAATAAGAAATGAAGCGAGAAGTTTGAAATATGAATAGATAGTTAATTAGTGAATTCCCAAATAAAGGTGAAATTAGAAGGAATCTTTCCAAGCATTGCGTCATCATTAATATCATAGCTATTTTTATTACCAGCCAACGGCTGGTAATAAAAGCAAAATATTTAAAGCAAAGCAAAATATTTTAAAAGCATTAAATTTATGATATATTAAACATAAAATGATGTGATCTGCACTGCTGCCATTTTATTTTGCATTTTTTTCAAAAAAATAGAAGTACTAATTTAACACGATTTGTTTAACAAATGATAATTTCTTAATTTATCAATTATCATTTAGTAATCAAATAAGATTGTAATAAATGATGTTTATTTGCTTAAAAGTTTAGCAATTAATTTATGGCTAAGAAATTTCCTATTAAAACAAAGAGTTTATTAATGAAAAGAGAATTATAATTTCTTTTAATTATCTTTTCTATTAATTTAGATAGAATTACATAAACAATAATATATTGTTGTGTTGAGTTATTCAAGGAATTAACAATTATACATTTTTAATTATTAAAATGACAGCGATAAATGTATTCAATTTACAGGTGGGAATGTTAAATTTAAATTTTATAAATTATAACATATATATATAACTACAAAATACAAAAAACACACACATATAATTACTAATTTTTGGATTCCTTCCGTTGTAAACTGTCGGGATTTATAGAAAATTTTTTTCAATACATATTTTTACTATATTTCCATTATGATATCGATTAAATGATATGATCCTGTTTTACTCATCAGTTTCCTGAAATCAAAAAATATGTATGATATTGTTGAAAATATGAGTTATTCGTCGAATTTTACACATATCATAAATTATCCATTCATTCATTGTTTCTTTATTAAAAGTTAAGGATCATTTGCTTGTTAACCCTTAACCTCTAATTAATTAAATTTCAACTTATATTCTCAAGCTTAATTTATTTGATACTTTTTGTTAAACTCCATAATTTAAAGCTCAATAATTTCCAATTTAATCAATAATTTTTCAACCAAATAATTTGCTTACTTTTTAATTTTGAAATCGATTAATATCATTAATATCAGTATCTCTTCTAGAAATTGATAAAAATTCAGTTAATATTGGCATTTTAATGTGTAAAAAAGTTTTTCGAAGTTTTTTATAAGAATGTAATAAAATATGATTTATTGCCGAAGTAATCAATTATATGTTTAAATACAATTCTCAACTATTTACAACATAAAATAAAACAATTGAATTGTTTTTAAGATATAATTATTGGTTAGCAAATGATTGTGTTAATTAGTTTCGATTTAAAATTATTTGAATTTTCATTCCTTTTTTTTTTTAAATTATCCATTTTAAAAATTTCCCATTTTTTGTTTCGATCAATCGAATATTTTCGATTATTTACTTATTTGCTGATTCTTTTTCGTTATTCAATTATTTACTTGCCTATTTACTTATCAATTTTCATGGCCTAATTTCTTTTTAATCATTATGACATTTTAAATTCCATCCTGTACTTATCACTATTCCACTGTAACATCAACTTATCATATCACAAAATTTTCATCATTTTTACTGATTCTTTTAATTATTATAACATTTTAAATTTCATCCTACTGCAAATCAACTTATCATATCACTAAATTATCATTTTTACTGATTCTTTAAGTCATTATAACATTTCATATTCCATCCTATACTTATCATTATTCCACTGCAACATCAACTTATCATATCACAAAATTTTCATCATTTTTACTAATTCCTTATAAAATCGAGTGTTTTACATTTTTAAAAAAAAAAAATCAATACTTCATATTTTTCAAATAGGTGCTAAACTTTTTCCTCAAAAAGAAAATACTTGGTTTTATTTTTTTAAAAAATCTCTTACTATTTTTTGTTTGCCGATTTCCTTCTACGATAAATAACAATTGATAAATTTTGATTCTTTTTTGTAGCTGATAAAAAGATAATGCGATAAAAATTAATTGTGAAAATGTAATGATTTATCAGCTTTTTAAATTAAATTAATTTTTTCTTAATTTTTTTTCTTAAATTTTTTTTTAAATTAATTTTCTTAATTTATTGCTATTTTATGCAATATTAACTAATTAGTTCTAAGTTTTATCAAATACTATCGAAACTAAGGTGATGGTGCCACCTCAGTGAAATTCATCAAATGTATGAATTTTTTCAGTAGATCTGATTATCACTTACTAAGGTGGTGCCTTACTATCTGATTATAGCTTACTAAAGTGGTGTCTTAGTATCTGATTATAGCTTACTGAGATGATAAAATTCAATAAAATTATCAATTTAAATTTCGATCATTT